GTTGCCGAGGATTGTATGGGAGGCGAAGTGGGCAAACAAAAAGAGGGGTAGGCAACCCACGGAATGGGTCAAGCTTGTAGAGGACGAATGGAAGGCGTTCGACATCGACGAAGATGAAACGCTGGAAACGGAGGGTCTACAGGGGTTCAAGGAGAAGATATCTGTTGCTTGTGCCGAGAGAGAAGAACAGAATCTGAGGAAAGAATCCAAGGATAAGGAGGGTCTAGAAGTGTACGGAATGTTGAAGGAAGGAATAGGGTTCAAGGACTACCTACATGGACCAATGGATGCAGGAACAAAGCTTAAGGTCAAATTCAGGACCGGGGACATAGGCCTTCGAGAACGTCGACGAAGACATAGGACGGTAGACGAGGAAGACGACGAGATCAAATGTGCTTGCGGCTCCGAGTGCGATGACCGAGTTCATGTAGTCACGGAATGTCCGTTGTACAAGAAGGAGAGGGAAGTGTACGTGACTGAGCTGGGAAAAATATAAGGAGGTACAGGGAGATGTTTGAGGCATGGAGTAGAGAGGAGAATACGGTAGCTGTACTGGGGCATAGGAGGCGGTTTGAAAAGGCGGGAAATGATACTGGTACAAGTGATATCGTTAGGATAGACTAGGGAAGACATTTTTGAGCCACCTTTGGCTCAGTAGGAAGGAACGATTGGCCATCGGTGATCGGTCGAACAATGCTCCGTCCTCTCGAGGACGCGTGGTCAATGGTCTAAGCACTAATGCATGCAAAACAGAAGTGTACGCCCCCCCCTCCCCCCCCCAATGCCGCATTCTGCTATCACCTCAAGCTGGTCAGTGCACCAGGCGGGGAAGCCAGTACGGTTGATCTTTCGAGCCGAGGACTTATCCCTAGGTGTGGCCACCAAGGCCGACGCGTCGATGATGAGAGACTGAATGGCCACCAGCATCTCCGAGAGGCCGTTGCGGGCGAGCTCGGAGTGCGCCACCGCTAGCGCTAGGCTAGCGTTGAGCTCGTCCATGTTGCCGAGGGCCTCAAAGGACGGGTCGCTCTTCGGTCTTGTCTCCATGTTGTACAGCTGGACAGGACAAAACATCATGGGCGTGTGGTGAAATATGGTGGGGATACGTTTACGTTACCGTTGCATAAAAATGGTGTGTGTGTGCCGAGAGAGAGGCAGAGGGTCGTCCCTCGATGATGTGCAGCTGGAAAGGACAAAAACACCAAGCGGCGTGTGGTGAAATATGGTGGGGATACGTTTACGTTGCCGTTGCATAAAAATGGTGTGTGTGTGCAGAGAGAGAGGCAGAGGGTCGTCCCTCGATGATGTACAGCTGGACAGGACAAAAACATCAAGCGGCGTGAGGTGAAATATGGCCAAACCAGCCAACGCCACCATCACCAACACAGTATGAGGAGCCCAAGCTCTTGGATATCGACGAGCACGTTACGACGACCACCATACCTGAGAGGTCCCCTTGTCCCCCGATCTGGTGTACAGAAACGACTTTTTTCTTGGCACCGCCCTCCGAGCGATCTCCGCCATGTCCAGCATCGGACGCTCGTCGCCCCCCTCCCCGCCGCCGCCACTGCCCCTGCCGTTCGCCCCGGTCAATGACCGCCGCTGGGCCTGGCTAGCCAACCGAAACGCCATATACCCTAACCCTACGCTGCCGCCGACAAGGGCCGTCGCGAGGCTCACGTTGCCGC